ACACTTTGTAGAAACAGCAGTCAAGAAATAAACTTAAATAATAAATAACATATTGCATTAAGCAGATCTGCTACAAAAGAGCTCTTTAAAGCTTTAAAATTACAAAGTTGTCAGTTTGAGGATTAAGGTGCACCTGACTAAAACCAGAGTGATTCTAGTCACCTAATATGCATGTGAGGAGTCCTGGTGTGGCGCTGTGGGTAAATGCGCCAGACTGCCAAGCCGTTTGAACTGCAAGGACAGCAGGTGAAGCTCACCAGCTGCTCAGAAACCCTCTACAGGGTGGCTGTGGGTTGGAACCGACTCAACGGCACTTAACAACAACAACAACATACATGTGAAAATTGGACAGTGAATAAAGAAGATTGTAGAAGAATCGATGCATTTGTATTACAGTGTTGGAGAAGAATCAAAAAGTACCATGGAGTGCCAGAAGAACACACAATTTGTGTTAGAAGCAGTCCAGCCAGAATGGTGCTTAGAAGCCAGAATGGTGAGACTTTGTCTCTCATAACTCTGGACACGTTATCAGGAGGGACCAGTTCCTGGAGAAGGACACCATGCTTGGTAAAATTGAGGGTTGGTGAAAAAGAGGAAGATCCCTGATGAGATGGGTTGAAGCAGTGGCAGCAGCAGTAGACTCAAACATTAACAATTGTGAGGATGGCAAAGATGAGGCAGTGTTTGGTTCTGTTGTGCCATAGGGTCACTGTGTTGGAACTGACTTGGAGGCACCTAACAACAACAGTTACGGGCTAGTAAAGAAACCCTGGTGGGACAGTGATTAAATACAGGCCTGCTGACTAACAGGCTGGCAGGTCAAACCCACCCAGTTGGTTCAAGGGAGGAAGACCGGGCAATTTGTTCCCATAAAGATTATAGTACAGAAAACCCTATTAGACAATTCAACTGTGTCATGTGGGGTCACCATGAGTTAACAATGACTCAACAGTACCCATGGGACCAGTGAGTGGTGTTTTTTCTTTTCTTCACTTCGGCTATTTTCCAGACTTTCTTCCATTAGGATTTATTATTGTCTTGTTTCATAAAGAACAGCGTTTCCCTGAAACTGCTTGGTAAGTGTTTACATTTCTCTGACTCTCTTTTTCAGGCCCCTTTCTTGGATGTTCTCAATACCATGATGGATACTACACTTCCTCTGACATTAGAAGAATTAGAAGAATGGGGGAATCCTTCATCTGATGAAAAACACAAGAATTACATAAAGCGTTACTGCCCCTATCAAAATATTAAGCCTCAGGTAGTAAAAGACAGTTATGATATATTATCCTGAAGTGGTATGGGAGATAAGCAAAAGGACACTTACTTGAGCTAAAGCAGGCACTAGGATTCTCGAGTAGTGCTATTTGTGACATACGCACACTTCTTTCAGCACCATCTCTGTGCATGCTGTGTCTTTGTTTCTGTTGGATATCCTTGGAATAGAGTTACCATGCCGTAATTACAAAATTTCATCAGATCATGGTCTCTCTCCTCAAGAAAAGACCATTCCAAGTAACAAGTGTCCTACAGGGCTTCCACCTGGTTTATTTTGGTTAACCCAGCTGCTGAGAATCTGCCTTTCCACCCAGATATTCTGAGTCAGAAGCTACATTGTAACAAGAATCATCTGGGGATCTTTAACTCTAGATTTTGTTTCAGTCTATGTGAATGGAAAGGCAGATTCTCAGCAGGAGAGTTGAACCATATGAGCTGGTTCAAAGCTCTGGTATTCTGATACTGTTACACTATTGATGTTTCCAGAATGTCAAGTGAGAAAAACTTGTAGCATTTACAGAAAAAAACTTGGTAGTAGTTGTTTTTCATGATCTATAAAGTGAAAGGAGGCCATACGGAATAAACTTTACACATTTATCTCGTTTTAGCATTATCCTTCAATTCACATCACAGCTTATGAAAACGATGAGCGTGTACCTCTAAAAGGAATTGTAAACTATACTGAGAAGCTCCAGGAAGCCATCGCAGAGCATGCTAAGGACACTGGGGAAGGTAGGAGACTGCCTAGAAACAGGAATCATGGCTAAACGGACTAGCAGCCTTAGCATCCTGCTTAGAGTGATGGAATTTAGCTTGTGGTTTAGGACAAACAGAGATTCTGCAGTTCACAACCCCGTTGCAGCATATAGACTAATTATGATGGCCTGGCTTTTTTTTTTAAAGGACAGTATTAAAATGAATTAGGCAGGGCACAAATTAGAAAAAAGTAAATTATAAATATTAAATACAAACTTGGAGATGGTACTGTCTATACATTCATTCAACAGTGTTTATTCTGCCATTATTTTTGGTTATTGTTAACTGCCATAGAGTCCGTTCTGATTCATAGCGACCCTGTATAAGGTTTCCAAGGAACAGCTGGTGAGTTTGAACTACCTACCTTGCAGTCTAGTGGTTATCTTGCAGCATCACACCAGCACTCCATTATTATTGGAGATCTCTAAAAAAACAGCATCTTAGGTTTTTACTTTGGGGTCTTGGTGCCCAAACTAGCTGCTTTCATGTACTCCAGATAGTCCTTTCCATTTCATTAAACATGAATTCCTTTTTCCTTGAAAACTGCTTGCCAAGACATTCTGGGTGCAAGGATGGGCAAGAACCACGAATAAATTTGTAGACAATCATCCTGTGATCCGCTCTCTGTCTGCCTCCCACCCATTGCTGTAGTTGGTGTCTCTGGGTCACAAAACTCAGATTCCACAGGGCCAGTCACTACCTCCTAGCTGACCACCTCGTCGTTCATGGTCCTCCAGGGTCTGGACATCTCGGTCCTGCTTGGTCAACCACTGGTCATCCTCCTGCTTTCCTGCCTTCCAAAATTTGTCTTCTCCTGCTTCCCTGCCCTCCCATTTTATTGTTGTTGATGGTGATTTATGCTTTTATTCTTTTACCAAGTGGAGTATGGGAAAGGAGAGGGGAGACAGGGATCTACTAACTAACCATTTTATATGGGACTCTTTCAGGTTATCAGGTCCCCAGTATTATTTTAGACATTCAGCCTGGAGGCAATCATGTGATTGAGGATTCCCACAAAAAGGTATGTAACGAAGCCCCCTCAGTTGACAGATCCCTCATAGAGATGTGTATGTATTTCATGAATTGTAGCAAGATTTGTGGCAGAGCCTTTACAACTATCAGGCCTAATTCTGAGCCCAAGAGGAGGGAGAGAGGAAGGAAAGTGAGACACCCAAGACAAAAAACTAGGTGCGCTCCTTTTAAAGGAGTGTTGTTGTTGTTGTTAAGTGCCGTTGAGTCGGTTCCGACCCATAGCGACCCTATTCAGGGTTTCCAAGGCTGTAAATCTTTACGGGAGCAGAAAGCCTCATCTTTCTCCCGTGGAGCGGCTGGTAGTTTCGAACTGCTTACCTTACGGTTCACAGCCCAATTCGTAACCACTACGCTACCAGTAGGAGACCCTTAAATCAGGGGAGGGTTAATGGCACCACACACACAGTCTCTCAGAAATCCACAGACTTAATGTATATTTCTTATGGTCTGTGTATTATGCGCTATACTTGCATAGATGCTGCTTATTCAGTATAAGACTAGAAGGCATTGAGCCAAAAGTGCAAGGCTTTCATGCCTGCTAGCGTAGCTTCAGCTACAGCTTCACAAATTTCCTCTTCTCCTTTAACAATGGTCTTTACACTGAATTCCTTTTTCTTGAAATGGTGGCCAACCACAGCTGCAGACCTCAATCTACAGAACATTGTGAAGCAGATCCAGCTTTATTCTTACAGTGACGTCATGACTTTTCTCTGCTTCTTAGGAGCACTTCCAGCATCACTAGTGGTACATCACATGGGCCCCATGGTGTTACACAAGGTTTACGGTATAACACTAAACTTGATAAAATATGTTTATTTCACTATGAGAGCCAAGAGATCACTTTTTACTGCATTCCCCAATTTACTGCTCACATGAAGATGGTTAGTATATTAGATGGCATTTTTAAAAATCTGCAAATTAAGTGGACCCAAGCAGTTCAGACCTGTGTTGTTCAAGGGTCAACTGTAATGGAATCTGAGCTGTTGGGATGCTCTGCCTCTGTCCTGAGTAAAAGTTCCCTTGCCATAAATTGCTGACTTCACAGTTAAGTGAAGGTGGGGACACCTAGACAGTGGAGTTTGACTACACAGGCCATCTAATTTTCCATTGTTTCTTCTAGATTACAGCCCAAATTAAATTCCTGTACGAGGAGCTTGGACTTGACAGCACCAATGTTTTTGAGGATCTTAAGAAATATTTAAAATTCTGAAATGACACACTCATCTGAGAATGAGAAACACACTGAAATATTTCGTGGTCTTACTTTCAATTGGGTTAGCAAAAGTGAGGGGTTTTATTGCAGTTATTAAAAATTTTGTAATTTGCTTCTCCAAATTGTGCTTAGTCTCCATCTTGTATGTACTGTTCTGTCCCCTGAGGCACATGCCCCTTAACCTAGAAAAGCAGTTTTCAAATCCTGCACCTTCCAAGGACATGGCATGGGAGCGAGGGAGGAGAGATTGGTAGCATCGGGCTCTGGGTGCCCCTCTTGTGTTTGTCTGTTTTACTTTGATTTTCTTGGAATAATTTACAATCCAATGCCCTGCCTCTTTACAAGGGAAGATTTTGAGACTCTGTAGCAGTGGCTTATCCTCCAATGTCTCTGACTGATCAGAAGAAAAAAGATAACATTCTTCATGTTAAAATTGATTCAATCTGTCACATAATCTGGGATCATAAGGTGTTCTGATCATCTTGGACTAATAAGATCTCGATAAAGTTACACGTTCCTGCAAGCGATGATTTTCTTTTAAATCTTTTATTCTTTATTTGAGAACCTTTCCTAAAGCAGTAGAATCCAAGCTAGAGAAGTATCTTAAGAAGTGACAACTACTCTTCATAAAGTTGACCCAGCAGCAAGCTGCACATAGAAGTTACTGTGAATGCCTGTGATAAAAACATGTGCCAGCGTCTTCATCTCTTACACAGAGAACTCAACACAAGTTGTGAAGTATGTCTAATGCACTGAAATAGCATGCTCGATTAGAAACAAAGCATTTATCTTTGAGAGCTGTTTGTTGATGAAGGAAATATTTTGTATTGTATTCAAGAATGAGTCCTTCTCCTTTGTCCAGTTTAATGGCAGTAGTTTCAACAGCACTGTCCTTGTTGGCAGAATTGGTACTTAACCGTATGCTCACAGTTGAGGGAAGTTCCGAGATCATTTCTGCTAGATTTACCACTGATGTTGATTCTCCAAAATTCAGAACCATGGTGAACACTCTGTTGAGGCCATCCAGCTCTCTCGTGTACACGACTACGTGGCTGTCATCCCCCACGTTTCCCACATGGCAAAACCAGCCCCTGTTAAGGAGCAGTTCATTGGCATGAAGTAAACTTAATTCCTGATACAACTTCAAAGTTGATCTCAACTGAGTGTTCTGGACCTATTTGGAAAAAAATAAAGGCTATTTACATAAATGTTTGATTCAAAGAATGTTTTAAAAATACTTTCGGTATCTAATAAGGAATTATTTCCTAACATACATGCATAAATTTCGCCCTTTAAAAGAAATACCAAATTGTAACTTTATAAACAGGTACAAATCTGCTTATGCAAATACCGATAGAAATCACAAACCTGGGCTTCTGCCAGTCCAGGAGTCCTTGCAGCGTACACACGTTCTGTTGCACCAAAGCCAGCGTAGCAGTAGAGATCAACTCAGACTCTACGGGGAACCCCACGTCTGTACTTGCAGTAACGGCTATTCAACCGGCTTAAGTCAAGTCACCTTACACTCCACGGTACTGCCAAAGACTAGGAAGCAGCCACGTGCCCAGGGACTCTGAGAACTAATGGTGAATTGTGCTGATCTTTTCGCTTTTTTTAAGGGTGATACATATGTTGCCATTGTACAAAAGATCCTGTAACTTCAGCAGACATGTATATTTTGCATAGCTAATGATGGAGAAAATTTGCAAAACAGGACACAAAGCAAAAAGATGCCTAAAGTAAAAGTTAGAAATTCTGGTGGGTTTTTTTGTTTGTTTGTTTGTTTGTTTGTTTGTTTTCATAAAAGTGATAAATGTCCATTAAAGAAGATTTGGTTTTTATTTTCTGTGATTCACATACTTCATTTGCTTTCCTCCACTAGCATTTCAAGCATTTTCCCCAATTGTTACATTGACTTCATTCATGTCATTTTAATGATAATAATCTTGGTTGAGCGTTTATACCATACTTAACAACTCAAGCATCCAGTATTTTCATATATTTTTAGTGTCTCCCTCCCACCTATTTTGGATTATTTCTGTAGAAGAGACATAAGAAAAACAGTTGCAAAAAGACAGGTCAAAGAGTATGGGCACTTGATAAATAATGCCAAATAAGTGTTCACAAGAGTTGATGCCAAATCATTACGTTGTACTCTTGCCAGCCATGTGTATTGGGGTGATGGTGGTTCTTGTTACTGTTGTTTGTGTGTGGGTGCCTAATATGTGGTCTTTACTGAATACTTAATGGATGTTTGAAAAAATGTTTATTCTCTGTTTATCAGCTCTAACGGTATTTATGGTATATGTATGTGACTTGTCAGAGTTATTAATATTTTCTATTGCCTTAGATAATGCATGAAAAGCACATAACTCAGTGCCACGCATAAGCAGTGCCCTCTAAGTGTTAGCTCTTGTTTGTATCTATTGGATATGTCCATTTCTAAAATGTGCTGAAGTCTTTCTCTGTAATTGTGGAGTTGTCCATTTCTCCTTGCATTTTTCAAAGTGTTTGATATATTTGAAGACTATTGTTAGATGCATAAAAACTCATGATTGTAGTGGAAATGTTCTTTTATCAATATTTTATTATTGCCTTTGTCTCATATTATGCTTTTCATATTGAATTCTATTTTGTCTGCTATTAAATATCTCTACACCTACTTTTTGTAACTGTATTTTTTGACTAGGGAATTCATGTTTCAGTCTGCCTGCTCATGGTTCTTTCTTTGCTGGTGTACATTTTTGTGAAGGATTTCTTAACGTATCAGACTCAAATCAGTCCATGGAAACAATTTAGACATAATGAAAATCGATACATATATTTCAGACACAAATGTTAAATACATACTGAATGCTTTCAGGGACCTATAAATATATAAAACAATAAGCTTATACTTCAGATATTCTCAGGGGAGTTTGGGGCAGGGAGCTATGGGCACATGGAGTTCTACATCAGAAATATCTGGAGAGATTTCCAAAATACTTAGCAGGTTGAGGTGATTCCAATAAGTTTCTTTACACCTAAACTGGCTTATATTGTGTTGTCTGGTGAAATGTTCACAAAACAGTGCAATCTCTGCTCACCTGAAGCCATCTAATTTTTTTTTCTTCCTGGTCTAAGCAGGATGTACTTAGCACTTGTCAGGAATTTATGGGTTTCTCTTTAAGAAATTGTTTGCCGACACTTGATTACTATGACAACAGATAACAGTATAGGCAACAGCCAAAGGCTGTACTTTTCCAGAACAGCTCCTTTTGGGATTATTCACATCTTTAGTTTTCTCAGATAAACAGCTCACTCTCAAGTGCACAAGATCTTGGATTTGTTTAATTGCTTTCTCCTTTCCTCCCTCCTTCCCTCTCCCTCATTCCAGCTTTCCTTTTGAGGGTAGCTGGGCTTGCTGAAAGACTTCCCAGTATGCTCATCTTAATGGCTCAGAGATTTTAGTAAAAATGTGTACTATGCATGGTGCTTCAGATGGTAAACTTGCATTCCAATTTGTATTTTCACAAAAACACAATTTACAAATTCTTTAACAAAACTACAAGAGAAGTTAGTGTGATGGCTTCAAAGAGTATCTGTTAGGTTTAGACAGACGGTGAGAATATGTTTTCAGTACACAAACCCAATAACCAGAATCTGCATGAATTTTTCACTGATACTTACATCAACATTCACCGTGTGGTAGTTGGAACTGATGGGTAACCAGGTGTGATTGCCTTCCGAAAACCCAGCATTTGAGCTGTTGTCCCACTGCATCGGTGACTTTGAGAGAAGGGTGTTCTATGTCAAAAGACAATTTTTAAAAAGTCTAATTATTCAACTAAATGTACTGGCCCTGATATACTTGATAAACATTGAATTACCTATTACCTGTTAGTGTTTGTTTTCATAGCATACACATGAAAAGACTTTGGCACTTAATACACAAGTCAGTTGCACACTTTAATTGGAAATTAATAATACCTTTAAGGAGCTATGGTAGCGTAGTGGTTACGAATCAGGCTGTGAACCGCAAGGTCAGCAGTTCAAAACTACCAGCTGCTTCGTGGGAGAAAGATGAGGCTTTCTGCTCCCTTAAAGATTTACAGCCTCCGAAACCCTCTTGATCGCTAGGGGTCGGAACCAACTCCGTGGCACTTAACACCACCACCACCAATAATACCTTTGGTTTAAATAGATTATAATAACTTTCATACCAAGGGGCTTCTAAAGGTTTGCAGAAAAGTTTCATTACCTTTCAACTTCATTTTACCAATAACTTTTTGAAGCCTTTCCTTTTTTCCCCTAAAAACATGTAAGACAGAATTTCTAAATGTGTTATTAGCAATTCTCAAGTTCGTCATTCAACCAGGATACTGTGATGAATTCAGGACGCTCCTGTGTACAAATGAGCCTGAATTCCAACCTACGTCTATCCACCTGGTTAGTGTGTATGGGTACACAGCCCCAAATTTAGGAGTTGAAATGTAAAAAGTTTCACCTTGAACATTGAAGTGGGGAAATTGGCTCTCATACAGTTGAATGCTAGCCATACAAATGAAACAGTCAAGATCAGTCATCTATTCAGCAACATAATTGTGACATCTGTAGCCTCAAAAACAAAAACCACTCAAGTCTGAGGGTGGCATTTCATTTGATATCATGGAAGGAAGAGTTTTTGCTATAACCAAATAAGACCTAGCAGGAAAGACAAAAACTAAGGAAATAAATACTCTTAACTTTTCGTGCTTCAGGTAGCGAGCACTGAACAATGTTCTGAACTCAGACACTGGTTCTCAAATTTGGGGGTGTATGGGCAGTCCATGGTACAAACAAGTTCCATTCCTGTGGCTTTAAGAAATTATGCGTACATGAGACCAGGTGCATACAATTCTTACTTAGCTGTAGAGTGATTGAAAAGTTGCACCTGTAGCCAACGAACGTGACGGTGAAGAATTTGTTGTGAATCGTTTGGTTCGTTCAACTCACAGCAACTCTGTCTAGTGTTTATGAGGAGCTGTTGGGTTTGAATGTCCAACCTTGTGGTTTGCTGTTGTTAATAGTCCAGTGCTTATCCTACATCGCCACACCAGGACTCCGAGGGCAAATTTTCATAACATCGAATAGCAGTAGGAATTACCCACAAGTCATACATTGGTAGCTTGAGGACTGCTTGGTAAAGAAGTGTGAGAATCTTTAGAACACAAATTCCTGGGGTAGCGTAGTGGTTACGAATCGGGCTGCGAACCTTAAGGTCAGCGGTTCGAAACTACCAGCTGCTCCGCGGGAGAAAGATGAGGCTTTCTACTCCTGTAAAGATTTACACCCTCGGAAACCCTATACAGGGTCGCTATGGGTCGGAACCGACTCTATGGCACATAACAACAACAACAACAACAACTCAGGTAGCTATGAGTCGGAACCGACTCCAAGCACATAACAACAACAACTCTTGAAATTCAATTGTATGTCCTACGAAGCAGTGTTCTGACAATATCCCCACAACCAGGAGAATGAACGGTTCTTAATGTATGATAATAAGAAAGAAAAACAAATTTAGCATACTTTTCAGCAATGGAATTGAAATTGTAAATTTTTCTGATTTGCCAAAAAAGCAAATACTTGATTTTACAGTTGTGGCACATAGCTAAGTTGTATTGAACTTACATAATCATAACTTTCAGTGAGATTTGTGGATAAAATATTTTCCATTCCTATTTCTTCCCCATAGTAAGTTATGGAGGTTCCAGGGAGCGTTAAAATGAGCATATTCATGACATTGACATATTCTTTCCCCAAACGAGAAGTCAAGCGAGAGTTACCAGGTCCACCAATCTGAAAGAGAGAAAGTTTTAAGAACATGGTTCTATACACAGTTTTATGGAAGATTTACTTCACAGAAAGTTGACCATGCACACAAACAAGGTAGCTGTGGGTACCTTGGCATCAGCAAGCCTGCATTTGAGCCCCAGCTCACATCTACTGTAACCAACTTACTGTCTTGTCTTGGCCACTGATCATCTACAAAACAGTGATAACAATATACCTCACAGTGATGCAATAAATAAGATCAAACTGCTAATCACAAGGTAGGTTGTTCTAACCCACCGGCTGCTTCTCGGAAACCCTATACAAGGTCACTTTAAGTCAGAACCGAGCCGATGTCGCTTAATAACAATGATATTCATATTGGGTCGTATTTGGATAAAAGGATAGTAACAGGAAGAGGTACATGTTTCTCCCCTATAGAAAGCAAGACAAGGGAAGAAAGTAGAAAATACAGCGGGAGAACGACTTCTGATGTGTCCTTTATTGTTTTGACTCTCTATTAAAAACAAATTCTAAAGTAAAAGAGAAATCAGCATTTTAAAAAGAAATGTGCACAATCCAGAAGGAAATTTTGAGATGTCCTTTAAATTTGTAAATATATTTCTATGCTAAATATTTATATGTATTATAAAACTTGGTCTTTATGTAAATAAGAGTTTATTTAAATCACCTGACAACTGTTTCCATACTCTCTCATAATGCAATCCCACGTGCATATATGGAAAGCGTGGCACTTTACTGCGTAAGAAGGATTTTCATGCTGACATTAAATGTTATTCCTCTTTACTGCAGTGCTGGTAGATATTATCCACCTGTTTACAAATGACAAAACAAGCTCTGAGAAATATCATTATTCAAGTTCACGGCATGAAAAAGAAATGTCTTTGTACTTGAGTCTGAGAATGGAAACTTGATTGTTAAAAGTCAGGCAAAGAAAAGTTTTGTTTTGCGTCAAACTCTGCTGCATCCTGTCATCCTTTGATTATCATGAGAGCATCTTTAAGAAACCGTGTGATTTTTCAAGCCTTCAGGACATACAGCATTTTCTGTTTCAGAATGAAAAGCAAGAAGCATTTCACACGTGATTCATAGCCATGGACACACATCTAGGTCTCTCACAGGCTGAGAGGCCCCGGTCACCTATAACCACATTATAAAATTTGTGATATAGAAGCAACTCTAGAATGGTGGGGTTAAGTGCCGTCAAGTCTGTTCCAACTCATAGTGACCCTGTACAGGGTTTCCAAGGAGTAGCTGCTGGGTTTGAACCATCAATCTTGTAGCTAGCATTTCAGTGCTTATGTACAGTGTCACACCAAGACTCCAGAATGGTGGCATAAGGACCTCTAAATATCTATACCTCAAATGAATGGCAGCACAAGGTGTTACAATCCATTTTCAGAACTCAGAAAATTAGCTAGCAGCTTGCAACAATCTGAGTAGTGTTTCTTTAAAACAACAACAAACAGACCTCAGTAAGAAAAGCAAGCTTTGTGCCATTTAAACTTGCCCTCCCTCCTCCCATTCATCTTTTTTAGGTCTGTTGAGTCAGAAGGTGGCACTAGCCAGGGAGTGGCTCTAGCTTATCAGGGACACTCTCCTTCCACCCAGAGGTGACTCCATGGTTCTGATAGAAACCAGGGAATGCTAAGTCATAGCTATGTGCGCCATCATATTAGAATGATGTCACACTGTTATATAACCTGTGGATTCTATTTGGCAAGATGCCTTGTTTGCTCTGCAGAAGTAATTAATGGTCTCCCCCATGTGAGAGATAGGGAACACAAACACATGGACAGACACAGAAGGGAGAATGGAGAACCTGGAGAAGAAAGAAAGAGATGAAGGGAAGAAAGCACAAGAGAACTCGCAGAGCTAAAGAAATGGAGAGGCACAAGAGACTACATGAGACTCCTTGCCCTCCACTGACCGCCGTTTTGTTGAATAAAGGAATGAGCTATCTCCCCACCACACCTCGAGTGTTCATTTGGCTTCCTGGTCCAGTGAACCTGTTGAGTTGGGGTGCTGAGGATCTCCAATCTCCCACTCTCCCCAATACAAGGTCTATGATAGCTAAAAAACCAACAGCCTTACAATTAGAATAGCTGTAAAGATCAGCAACCCAGCAGACACTGGAGAGGCCAGAATGGAATTCTCGTTAAGCGACATCAAGTCGTTTTCCAACTCACAGTCACCGTGTATAGGGTTTCTAAGGAATGGCTAGTGAAGGTGAACCACCAACGTAGAAGTTGAAATCAACCTTGCGGTCCAGTGTTTTATCCTACAGCACCACATCAGGACTTCGGAATGGATTTAGAGCTCATCAAAACTTCCATCCCCAGAGAACTCTCACTATGGCTGACCTTTCTGGAAGCTCATTGAAAAACTCCATTTCACAACTTTTTTTTTTATTTGACATGACGAGATGATTTTGTATAAACAGTGCTACCCCAGGGCATTGGTAGACAACATTAAGTGGCCTGTTTAACACTGCACCTGCCTGAGTATGACCAACCAGAGACTGATCAAAAAGCTAAAAAGGAAAACTTAAGAATGAAATACCTATAAGAACTTTGAAAAAGATCTAACATTCTTGGGAATGTAAAAAGCTACATCCATATACAGGGCTGTGTGCATGCTAAGTGTTGTGCAGATGCCCAGGAAAGAAACAAAGAAAGCCTTAATCCCTCACTTCTGGCTAACATTGAGATAGGAAGGGAAGACTAAGACAGCATTATTAACTACCAGACTAAAGGTAGGGATGCTTACTAGTTCAAGAGGAATCGCATTCATCAGAAAGAACCTTTCAAAATCTATCTTAAAGTACAATGCTGTCTGTGAGCTAGTATCTTCACAGGCTAATACTAAAGGCTAAAATGCATATACACCCACAAGGAATACTATTACACAAACTTATACATCAATCACTAAAGTCAGTGATGATGAAATTGAAAAATTCTACTAACTTCTTCAGTCTGAAATTGATCAAACATGTAATTGAGATGTATTAATAATTAATGATGATTGGAATGTGATGGTTGGAAACAAAGAGAAAGGATCCGTAGTTGGGAAACATGGCCTTGCTGGTAGAAATGCTGCTTGAGATTGCATGATAGAATTTTGCAACACCATTTATGTATTCATTGAAAATACTTTTTTAAAACCACATAAAAGGTGACAATACACATGACACTCACCAGATGGAATACAAAGAAATTCATTTACTGTATCTGTGGGAAAAGCCAGTAGAAAGGCTCAATATCATCAGACAAAACAAGGCCAGGGGTAAACCGTGGAACAGACTATCAATTGCTTATACGCAAAGTTAAAGCTTAAGCTGAAGAAAATTAAAACAAGTCCGTGAGAACCAAAATATGACTGTGAACATATTCCATATGAAGTTAAATAGCATCTCAAGAACAGATTTGAAGCATTAGAAACTAAAGACTGAAGACCAGAAGAGTTGTGAGATGCCATCAAGAACATCATACAGGAAGAAAGCATTAAACTCATTAAAAAGAGAAAACCAAAATGAATGTCAGAAGAGACTCTGAAACTTGTTTTCCATGATAGATGCAAAAGCAAATGGAAAAAATGAGGAGGTAAAACAGCTGAACAGAAAAAGGGCAACTCAAGAATACAAAGTACTATAGTGATATGTGCAAGGACCTGGGGTTAGAACCAAAAGGAAAGAACATCCTCAGAATTTCTCAAGCTGAAAGAACTGAAGAAAAATTTAAGCCTCTACTTGCAGTATTAAAGGATTTTACGAGTCAAGCTACCAACCTCAAGGTCAACAGTTTGAAACTACTAGCTGTTCCACAAGAGAAAGATGAGGCTTTCTACTCTTGTAAAGATTTACAGCCTCAGAAATCCTATACAGGGTCACTATGAGTCAGAACCGACTCCATGACACACCACCACCAGTACCACCGTGGGTAAAAAAAAAAATGGTGCAGAAAGCATCAAAAGAAGATGGAAGGGGAGAACAAACAAGATGGTGGATCTGGTAGAAGTGCAGTGAGGAGCTCAATGAGCAACAACACAGAACACTGGACCAAGCAGGAGGCTCAGGGGATGGTGCCAGAACTATGAACCACATATAAAGAAATACTTAGAAAGTTGGAAGGCTTACAGCTAGGGGAATTGGTAGCAGAAGCAAGAAATCCACTGCATTCTAATCCAAGGCACTCAACTGCTCCCAGAGCCACCATCTAGGGTGAGACTGAACTAGGAAGGATCAGAGCAGCCATGGACGACTGAAAGAACTGTGGAGATAAAGGTGTGGACACTCTTTATTTTTTGTACCTGTTCATTTGATCTCTTGCTGGCTGTGCACCTCCATTCTGGTGACTAGAGGGGGTGCCTAAGCAAGTAGATACCCCAACCCCATCCTCAGAGGGTTCTACTACTCATGTGCACAGATCTCCTCGAAATTTAAAGAGATAGTTTTCACTTAAGACCAAATGGCAGTGCAAAACAACCACAGCTGGCTCTGAACTGTTTATCACTAGGAAAAAGGCCTGAATGGGAATTGTGGAGCAGGACAGGCAGATTAAAAAAGAAATAGGCTGAAAATGAAATCTTGAATTATATCACAATGACCAACAGTGGCAACTTGAAATTTCTCAGAAAGAAGAGTGAAAAGAGAAGCCCATCTCTTGATCACATCTACCTGGAGGCAATCAGAAAGCATAAAAAATACCAAAATACACACCCATCTAAGTAATAAGGCCACAGAAAACACCTGAATATGCCTAAAAACCAGAAGCAGATGATCATATCAGCACATGTCCAGAAAGGAGAAAAAGTGACTGAGGCAAATGAGCTAGAAGTAGACCTACACTCCATACTGGAAGATGGGCAGGCTTTGGAAATGCCTGAGAAGGAATTCAGAAAAA